TTTTCTCTTTTCTATTTTTAAATTTGCGGATTATCAAAAAAAGAGCATTTTAAATGCCAGAAATGGCAAATGTATCGATATACGAGAGTTGATTTTATTAGTTCGCGTTGCGCGTTTCAGATTGACGGTTTCCACTTGAGGTAACAAAGTAACCATCAAGATGTGGAATCGCGTCTCATGGGAGTGACGCGCCACGAAGGTGTCTTTAAAATTGTCTTGTCCCGGGAGAAAGTCGCCTTTTCCATTCGCCGCTCGCCGTCTTTTCCAATTCCCGTTGATTACGCGCCGCTGAGAATTGCACAATCGGTATCGGACGATTTGCGGTTCTCGGAGAAAAGAGGGAGACATAAGAAACGGAGAATCGAAGCTGCGATGCGGATCGGAATCGGAACGGGACCGTTCAGAGTATAGATACCTGTTTTTTCTTCCCGAGTTCTCTTCCCGCCAATATCTTTTAGCCAGACGATCATCTTTGGGTCTTAACGTCGGGATGTTGCATCCTAGCAGATTAGATATGCAGGTTTAATCAGGTTCAACAGGTTTAATCCGAAATTAAAAATGCGCTATCTCTGTTAATATCTCGACGTGTGTCAATTTAGAGCTCCGGCTCGGTGTTTAAGAAATGTGCTTGACATCTCTTTTTAAAACACTGTAAGATATTTTGTTTTAACGTCTCTTTGACATACAATTTTTTCTGAGAAGTTTGGACCACGCAATACTTGACGATAAAGTCACGAATGTATCGCGATACCGATATCTGCGATGTTTCGTAATGAATCGGCTTAATTAAAATGGAGATTGCTAAGTGAAGACCTCGTCAAATGTCTATCTTTATCCGAGTGACTTCACATTCAACAGATTAGGAATGTATTCGCTTCAATGATACGGCTGATGAACCGAACTAAGATTTCTGCGTTCCACCTCAACGTCGTACACGGAATTTCGTATTTGGCGAGGACTGTCTTCGAGAGTCATCGAGGCGTTCCGCACGATCGACAGGACGATTTCTGAGATCTGCCCTATAGCTTTTCGCTTCAGCGACTCTCGAGACTATAGCTATGCCGAATAATTGAATTGAGAACTGCAGCATCAGTCACAAGAGATTCAGTGCAATCCGCTGTTATGTAATTAAAATGGAAATGCTTAGGGCAATACATATATCGAGTAAAACTTACTAAAAAAAAAAAAAACAATTAATTTTTAACGAAATTTAGTATTTCCTCTTATACGTAACGCACTCTTCACACTCTTTAATTTTGAAATCTGATTTCTAAATAGAAACTTCCATTTAGGAACGCCAGTGTTTTAACCGCAAATGTTTTAGAATAATTAATGTCCCAATTAAAACTAGAATACTCGAATAATCTGTGTCATATCTCTTAAGTATAATTAAATGACTGGTAAAATAATATTATTGACTTTCATGGCTCAGAAAGGATGTATGAATATTAACAAAAGACAGGCTTGTTAATTATTCTATATTACGATAATTTTATACAATATTCATACTATTTCGCATAAAGCGGTATCATTAAGCGTGAAAAAGTATCAACGGTTATTCAATGGTTTCAAGATACCAGCGTGCGTCGTATGACACTATCATTTTATTATGTAACGAAAGAGCATTTACGAGAGTTACTATCTCGTTAATTATCGTAAAATACATTCATTGCATGTCAGAGAATATTTACGACTCTCTCAAACCCTGATGATACAAAATGTCGTAAAGTTGATTGGCATGAAAGACTCGTCCGCATTCGCGCTTTTCGAAGAAGCTACGACATTATTTTATAAGCTATGCCATTAAACGTGACGTAGCCCGTGACTGATAAGTGGGTGGGTGGACCCAATAATCGCGACGGCTTGATGAAAGCGTCGGATTAATTAACGCCGGAGATACTGTGCCGGATGTTTAGACGTTTAGGGCTTTGATTGCGAACCGGCGCGCTCGCTTCTCGTATAAATTCCAAGAATAGGATTAGCACACGCTTCGGATTCTCACACCCGGCAAGCGTCCGATCGCACGATCCACGTTTGAGACTTGTAATTAGCGAAACAACATTTTTATCGTCGTTATTTATTGCGTTTCTCGATGCTTCCTCAAATTGTAATTTCATTTTTGTGAGAAGTATATATATTATTCTTGATTCCATCAGCGTTTTGAACATTCCGAAAAAAAAAAAATCCGATCTCCAACGATCTCCGTTTCCTCAACGATAGCGGATTCCCGCGGGCGGTCGGATTTCGCCTACCATCAGACTATCAGAAACGCGCGACACGAAGTGCGACATTGCACTTGCATAACTTCGATCGTTTGGTTCCGCGTTTCCACACCACACGTCGCGAGGGAAGACGGCGCGATTCGAGAACAGCCGCAATTCACACGTGAGACTCTTTAACGCGTTGCTTCAACTCTTTTCATTGAAATTCTTTAGCAGATCTGCGTACTAATGCCGGGCGTGTATACGGTATGCAAACAGTGAGATGGAAGCGGCGAAGTGGCTGGAAAACTTTAAATTGTCTTGCGTGAAGGAACTCCGCGAGAAGATTTTTAATTGTCAGGAGAGCTCTTTACATAAACGTAAAGTTCCTTATATACACAACTGTATGTTTCGTGGAGATTCTTTAAAAAAACTTAAAAACTGTGTGTGTGTGTGTGTTTATTGCAAAATTGCCTTCTCTGGAAGAAGATTCTCAATATGATTCTGTACAAATTGGAGATTACAGAATCGAGAGTAGTTTTTATTTTTGACAAAAACTTTTACCATCGAGGATTGTTTTCAAGAATAAATGTTCATGTTTCAAATATTCATTTAATTCAAATTATCTTTTCACAGACCAGTGATGCATACATTTTTTAACGAATCGTATTCGGTGTGATTGAACACGAATTGATCGAACCATCAGATATAAGAAATATTTTTTTTATTATACATCAAAAATTAAAAATAGTAATTTTTTAAAAGTAATTTTTTAATAATTATGAAATATTATTTTCAATGAAATTAATTTCATTACAAAATCATGGATATTTATATATTATTTATCTGACGATCCTAACTGTTTCATTTAAACTCACGATAATCTGAGATAAAGCGATTTAAAAAATGATCTAAAGCGATAAAAAATGACCTAAAATCTATGAACTCTTTGAAAGAGCATCTGTCACATATCTTTGCCCTATAGCCTAACCTAGGCCAATATATTTCGCTCGATTGCCAGAGACGTTCGGTCGTTTACCTCGTCTGCGGCGCCGTTTCCTCCGGACAGAACGTTGCACCGCCCTGCGTCTAATTTTCATCTTTTTTCCCCCCTTTGTCCCCGCCTCTCGTCGGACTTGCTTAGAAGGAGGCGCTGACGACCGTCACGGAAATAGAAAGCGACACTCAGACCCGATATCGTCGACAAGTTCGCCCGTGTTGAAGCCAGTCTTTAGACACCTCTCCCGAGATCCGTTTACTCGGCGACGCCGGCGACGACCCAGTCACAGAATTAGGCGACCCTCGTCGTCGATCGGGGGAAGCCGGGACACGATCGTTAATTCTGGAGATAGCTTTGGCCAGGCTTATGGAGACTTTTGTTTCCATCACCGCTGCACCGGCCGGCTCGCGTCAATGCGTGTATTTATACATATACGGCACGGCGCGGCGACACTCGTCAGAGATTTGTCATGCCCTACCGCATGCACGTTTTCATTCAATCTTTCTTGCTCCTTTCGCAGATAGGATGCAGCTTGAGCGAGAGAAGAATCGCGCAACGCATTATGTTTGCATAAATAGTCGTATTTCTCACGACAACATTACAATCACATGCACGCATGAGCGATAACACGAGTCAAGATCGGAAGTCATAATTAGTTTGTGTCGCATATACGGGACCTCGGCATTTATCGAGACACCGAGATTCCTATAGAGACTGTTTAATGCATACTAGACGAGTGTTCGTTGTTAATTTGATGCTGAATTTTATTTTAGCGTCGAGATAAGAATCACGATGTTACAGGGCGTAATACGCCGTGTAATTAACGAGCGCGAAACGACGCGCGCTAATTATCCAGCACTATTCCAGTCTCTCCGATCGTTTGACGAACGACCTTTAATAATGCGGTTCGCACTTTCACGAGGTAGGCGACTGCTCGCGATCTTTCTCTTTAAATTGTGGAATGTTTCCGTGCGGTCACTCGTCGCTCAACATAAATCTTCGAGACGCGAGTTCGATCACCTTAGGCATCTGGCCGAGAGACGTCAAGGCACTTGCTAATTACGAAAAATTCCTTTTTCTCTCCCTCCCTCTATCTCTCTCCGGTGACGAAAATGTCGTCGAAAGCCGGTCTTGAATATCGCGAAGTTTAATATTATCGAACGTGTAAAATAGACGACTATTATAGTCATCCCTTTCTACGAGTGACAAGTTTACGAGAATGCACGAGACGATGAATAGCGTATTGTATCCGTATAATACAATTCATGTCCATCAATATCGTACATGCCTATGATATCATTCTCTATAATTTCCGTGATTTAATTATATTCTTGTGTCCATCGATACACTGTAAAAAATTTAATGTCCCAGAAAGTCCACTCTAAATTTTGTGTTAAAATAACTCATGCATTGTGTTATTTTAACACAAAATTTAGAGTGGACTTTCTGGGACATTTTACTGTGTAATATGAATATATTTTTCATTATAAATATTTTTTACTTCGGCAAATAGCTATAGTAATATAAGTCAATGATAAGAATATATTGACGTATGCTAATTTTTATGCTTTGATTAATTCGGCTATGATGACACAAAATTTGATTTTTTTTAACGGAAGTTAAAAGAGATATGACCCAGATATGACCACGGAAAAGATGTGACTAATGTCAATTTCATTTGCACTTATACAAAAGATCCAGATTTAAATATGAATCTATACGTGATATCTCTAACATATCATGAAAAAGATAAGTTAAGATCCGCGGATTAATGAAGGTCTTTTTCGAATCTGTTACAGATCTTTGGAGATTTTTCATCAGCATGGAAAAACCCATTCCGAGCTTCTGAAAGCCCAACGCAACGCCGGTGGCTGCGGATTAGGGGGACCTCTGAGATATCCAAATTCCATTATCTTGTGGCTGCGCTGCAATAAGGTATGCTCGACGTGCGTGACCGCGTTCTTTCGATAGATTAAACTTCGATACGTCAGCGATCGATATCACCCTACCACTGTCACAGACAGACCGTATGATGTATTACCAAAATAACGACGGAACTACGCCTCCTGTTTGAACTTACCATCGTGTTTCCCAGACCATTACTTCTCGCAATTTGTCTCTGTCAATATATTTTATTGCTTCTCGATTCGTCTTGCCTTTGAGTATAAATTTCATGACGAGCGTTTAGACAAAATAACCGTAGAAACTAGTGAATAACAAAACGAGAGATCAACGTATACTGATTTTCGTGCATAATTTTAAGGTGACATAAAAATCTAGACCTATTTTCTTTATGGATTTATGAAATAGATTAAAATAAATGAAATTTACATTCGATTCTTCCGTAAACTTCTCGTGTACAAATTCCCGTTGAATGTCGTTCGAAATCTATAATCATTCCTATTTAATTATTGCCTAAAGCGACTTTTAGTATATCATTCGTAAAACATCCTTTTTACGAGGATCTTTTACGCAAAATGTTCTGCTGATTTTTATAAGGAACTTTAAAACCGTATTATCAGTCTAATAAAAATAGGTGTACAATTCTATTCGTGTGTAATATAATCTTGTTATCAGTATCCTCAGATTCTTGCTATCTTCAGATTAATATTATCTTCGTAATTAAGAATCTACCGTTTGCTGAAAAATGTGAAATGTTTGCGCAAGAATTTCTGATTTTTTGACGTGACAAGAATTAATATAATGAATAAATCTTCGGCTCGATCGCTGATTTAAGTAAAAAAAAAGGGTATTCGCGTAACCACTGTTGATCATAAAACGCTATCACGTCGTGCGTAGTTAAAGTTTATTGTGCTCGGTGCACCACGGGGTTCGCTTTATCGATGTCTTAAAAGCATCCCGCTAATCGACGGCGCCTATATTCAGCGCATTGTGATAAATGTTTTATTTTTACGGGTGCGATAGAAAAATTCGAAGGACAGGAATTATCGCCGTTTACGACGGAAACGCGCGGGAGCGTCAACATATTAATTTGTCGGGGGGGGGGGGATTGCATTTGACGCGACTCATTTTATCTGATTCGTCGCCGTCAACTTGTTCTCGCAATCTGTTTCGGGTTAACTCAGGACGAGGCCGGCTGGGGTATCGCCCGTTCGTTTTCGAGTCTGGATCTTGACTGAGGAATAACTGTATCGCCGCTCTCAGCAGCGCCGCTCGTTTTCCTTGATAAACGATAAAGTTTATCGCCTTCGAACGCGGCCCGGTCTGGTTTATCGTCGCCTCCGATAGGTCAGGATAATCGATGGTGCCGCTTTCAGCGCCGCAGATACTTCGTTCCCGCCTACTCTTTCGAAAGAAATCGCTATCCAAGGCTTCTCATGACAGAGATCACAGAAAATATCGCTCGGCTAAACTAATCCGAGCTCTGAGGATGAGGAAGGAATGTTAAGTCAAAAATAAAATAAGAATCGGTCAATAACGACCATTATTTCTAATATGATTGTAGCAAACGCGTAGGTAAAAAAAAAACAGAAGATAAAAATTATATGTAGAAAGTAGGTAAATTATACGCAAACGTTTCTATTAATTTCGTGCAATATACTTTTTTTCGCGTTGTATCTATTTATTCTGACTGCCTCTCGGAATTACAGTCTTCTCAACCGGTGTCACAGTTTCGCAACGAGATGTTAAATCATGCGTGCTTTGAATGAACAACATTTCGTGAAACTACAGCTGGCTAATTACGAGACGATGATGTTGATTGCACGGCGTGCAAATTTATTGGATCTAATATGTAATCAGCGGCGAATTCGGATAAAAACGGATAGAAACTTTGATTCTAGGCTACGCGGTGTTACCTCAACGGAAATATTCACTGAAGTAGTGGCTTTAAAAGCGGCAGAGCGGAAGTGTCGACCGGCAGCTACTGTCACGGCAGAACTGTCATTTCTCCAATAGCACTTTCCGCATTATTAATTTATCCGCGGTTCTGCTACGCCGACTCGCTCATAAATAGGAAAGCAAATTAGGAAATACTTTCTGACAATAAATACCTCAGAATTGATTGCAACTGTGCGAGATATCTCATTTTGACAGTTGCCAGATCGGTTGCTTTGATAGAAATTCACGCTCCATAGAAACATAATAAAAATATAAATATATACTATACTATACTTATATATGTGATGTATATTGAGATTTTTATCAATTAGCACTTTCTGTGATTAACAATGTCTCAAAAATATTCCCTCGACTTATGTAACAAGAAAATCTTGACGTAATTGCACATCTATCCTCTCACGGTCAAATTCGATTTTTTTTTTTTTTTTTTACGTAATCTAAAAGACACGAGAGATGCATACGACGTCGTTCCACAGTTAAACTACCGAATTTATGGAGATTTACGCCACACGTTTAGTCTTTAAGTCTTTAATTAAGTCACGAATCGATTAACCTTCGTCTGACGTTCGCGCGAGACTCGCTGTCATAAAAGTAAAAGCACAGCGAAGCCGATGTATGCTAATACGCGGCCGTTTCAGGCGGCGATGTCAAAAATCGCGAGGCCGTCTGACACAAATACCGCCGTCCGCTCGAAACCACCGGTATCCTAAATACCGCGAAACGATCGGTGCCCAGCACGATTTCGAAATCGGAAGTCGATCCCTCGGCAACCTTGCCTGTGCCGGTGCCCGTACTAACGGGCCATTCGAGAATTTCTTTAGCCTTACGTTACCGCAGATCTGTGGTCTAAGACTTTCCCCGAGAGCAGGCGGCGTTAAGTAACGGCGAGTTCTCGAGTAAGGTTCCGTTCACACCATATTTCTCAATCAGATGGACTATGCCGTATTGTAACGTACTCGGGAATGAATGAGCGTTATACTATATTTCGCGGTATATATTCTGGTCACTTCAAACCATCGCATGCGATTTCATCATGCTCTTACCATTTGTGGACGATAATAACGATAGACATCTACATTTGATAAAATATACAATTTAAAATCGGTTTTGTCTAGTAACTTCCTAATCTTGATTCTTGACTTTGATTTACCTAATTTTCAACATTGAGTTGGAAGTTCTTAAAAAAGTCTAAGTCTCTGAAATCTTTTAATTCATAGAAAACTACTTTAATTTAAATTTAACTAAAGTAATGAATATTAGTTTAAAAGATCTATTAGACAAATTATATGATATGTTCAACAAATATGTTTATTAATTAATATAATTAAATCTTGCATAGAGAATTTCTGTAAATTGAAAGTAACTAATATACAAGCGAAATCTAAAGAATGTACTACTATGGTTAAAATTATAGCTGATGACGTCACTCTTACAATGACTACTTTATGAATACTTTCTATGATCCATTGAAGGAAAAGAGAGAAAGAGAGAGATAGAGATAATAGTGTAAGAAAGGCTTAATGCTCGTACGTCATCGTTTATGCATGGATCACTGACTGCGTTTCGCGAGCAGCCGCACTGGAATGCCAGATTTTTCTGCCGTATTGCAAATACCTCCCTCCTCGCTACCTTTCCATCGATCCTTTGCAACCACTTGCACACACGTGAGCGCACGTACGAACGTATACAGTATCGCGCGGACGAACTTCCGCGCACCTTTTCCATTGCAATGGGCGCTGGAGAGTGAGAGGCGATACGATTTGCTTTTCCCGTTATCGGTTGCAACTGCCACCTTTGATAAAGTGGACCGATTAAGTTCTCTCGCGTGATCGAGGATCTCGGTGCCTGGACTAGTTACAATGTTGCGAAACAATGAGCGATTCTGGACGGTAACCGTATAGAGATATGCGTCAAATGAACGTATAAACATATGAATAGGAGCGAGTGAAAAATGAGATGAGATATAAATAAGAATAGTAATTAGAGTCATTGGTGAAATTATTGAAATAAATCCGGAGAAACGATATTGTTTCTTGGCAGATTCCCTTGCGTCAAAATTATCAGCAATACAGCTAAAACCGCACGTTGTCGTCGACAGTTGTGTCGACACAAACCATTAATGAATTCTTTATTATTTCCACGCCATATATCTACGACGTACCTAAATAGCCCTATGTCAAAATGATCTGCGTCTTGAATCACCGGTTATAATTTAGGAACCGCGATGGTAGTCGTGTCACCCGGTCATTATGTCTCGATTTCCGTTATATTGCGGTCGTCTCCCGTTTTATTAATAAATATCTCTCGTGCTTCACGTGTCCCATTTTACGTTTGCGATAAATTCCGCTTCCGCTTCCGTTATAGATAACTTTACACTGTTTAATGAGGCGAATTAAATGAGTCGAGTTCTAATAAAAATATGAGGAATTCCACTCACATGATACACGTCGTCGAGAGTCGTGCGAAATTTACGAATGCCAGCGAAGAAATTGTCACGTGCCGTCTCTCCCGTTACGTTTATATATAGATCGTCGGTCGATAAAAGTTCACATCCATCAATACGATTGCGACAGTAATACAACGTTAGCAATATGTGTCCATCTGTGTGCGTATGTGGATCGCAACAAAAAATTACTTGGTTATTTTAGAGTTCAAGATTAAGAAGCCAAATAAAATTAAATGCAAATGAGATTAATAAAATTATATTAGCTTCATTAACATTGCGCGGACACCATATGGACCTTTTAAGACACAGTCAATCTTTCATATTTTACAGTTTTCTCCTGACGTTTCAACACTTAAAAAAAAATTGCAATAGTTTTGGAATATGTAAGTATATAGAAATCACACTTTTTGAAACCTTAAAGACACGATACTGAATTTTTATAGATTTTTTGTAACACATCAGAAACGCTTTCAAAAACCCTTTAGACTTAAAGGGTGTCAGGATGCTCCAAAACACGATGTCAAGATTAAGGAAATCCAAATCCAGATTAAGGAAATGAGTACGGACAAACACGAATAAATATTTTATTTCAAGTACAAACGGCGTTGATTGAAATGGTCTTATATTT